CCCCCCCCCCCCCCCCCAATTAACACAAAACCACTGCAATTGATTTTGATAAGATTTTTATTCTTACATAAGTTTTAGGCAGTACCCTACCACTAATGAGTAAAATTGTCTGGCATATTAGACAGAGTAAATTATAAAGTAAGTTATTCTGGGCAAAACACCTTTTCTCATTTTCTCAATACATTTTCTCATCCTTTTTTTTTCTTTGTTTATTGCCAGATAATTTTACTTGTCAACAAAATATATTGGGTATATAAAATGAAATTTAATTGGCATATGAGTATCATGCTCAACTTGACTTTTCAGTTAGCTTGATACTGATAGTCGGGCACCATATATTTCACTAATAAAACTTAAATCTGGTATATGTCAAACCTTTGGTATTAATAATATTAAAGACAAATATATTTGTATTGATACTGCAATGTACTTTCTAAAAATAAATTCATCGCCCGGTCCTTTCATTAGCAAGTGAAATGTTCTGTTCCATTAACCTTACCATTACTTCCAGTGTGTGGTTTTAAATGCTGTGTCAAGAAATGCTGGTTAATATTTATATTTTTGAACAAATCATTTCGGTCAACACAGTCTTTGTGTGGAAAAGCCAACAAATTATCAGTGCCAGTGGTGTCCTGAAAGGTTTATCAACGAGACAAAATACAAAATTTAAATATAATACGTGTTTTAAAAGCATTTCGTTACATTTTAATACAATAGTGAGATTAATCCAATTCACAAAAATACACCGCCATGTTGATTATTCGAATTTTGCTAGGCCTTCCAGCGCAACCCAGTTCGGATATTTTCCGAAACTGACAGCCCGCAAGTTCACGACAGCCTGTAACTCGCCCGCGCTTGGAAGGCCAGGGACTAGGCTGATAATCTCTATAACAGGTGCTGCCAATCCTGCCATATACTTATGGTTATCTTATAGCTTGTGGGAATTGACAGTGTAGGTCTCAGGTATGTAAACAATGATTTTGATTATAGGACCTCAATATATTTTTTCGATCTGTATTAAACATGTATGACAGCTACACACCTCAGTAACCAAGCTGTATTATTTTCATTAGACATCACACATACTAAAATTTCTTCCTCAGCTTTATTCATAATTTTTGTGGCAGTTTACAACATTTTCCCTTGGCCATATTTATATAATTATTACAACATTTAGTTGCTACAGCAATGATGGTTCATTTCGGCTTTATAACTATTAACTAGAAATACATGCATGCAACAACCCCTCACCAATATTTTCCAAACATTATTTCAACATGAAATATTACGTCATCACTGAACATGGGCTCGCGTTGCTCACATCATGTAATCATGTTAGCCATGGCAACACAATAATTGTTTTCTTTTAATTTTTTGTACAAACCTGCAAAAAATAAATGAAACTTGAACACTTTTAAATACAGAACTATCATTTTTTAAAATAAATAAAGTAGGTAAATTATTTTGCTTTCTATGGGCTTTATTTTAAAGTAAAATTCAACACGAAACTCTTCGTAAAACGTTGTTAAATGTTAATTGAAATTTACTGCTTTTTGCCGATAAAGTCTTCAACTCAAGCTTTAACTTCTTACTCGCACTTTGAAATGAAATAAATTGAATTTGTACAGGATGCTAATGAAAATAATTTGCTTTCCATTTTATCATGAACTTCTACAAAAGTTAATCAATTCTTAATGTTTACGTTTAAAAATTGTAAAAAGATTTTACAATTTGTTATGTGAAATGATTTCCCAAGTTTTCTTACATGTTTTTTTATATTTTTGCCTCCTTCACTCCTGGCGAACAACCATATTTTGGGATAAGTGAGATTAATTATTCACATTGATATGTTTAAACATCTCAAAATATCGGTGTAATCTGTGCCAAGACACCTCATATGTGGAGCCGACTCCTATGGAAATTTGTGAGGATGAGTGTTCCCGAGATCTTGTAAATACAAGTTAATCCATTACCCAAAGTTGATATGCCAAAAGACAAAACTGAATATCGAGGGATTAACTTAACACCAGTGATTGCACATGCTTTCGAGAAATCTGTATAACACACATACTTGTGTTATTGTTGAACAATCTTTAAGTTCTAGTCAGTTTGCATGTCAGAAAAGAGGAAGCTGTGAAGATGCACTGTTGAGTATGCAACATGAGATTTATTGAAGTAATTTTTTCTATATATAGGCCAAATGAGTTTTGATATTTGTTGTAGTTTAAATTTTATTTGTTTTTATATTAACATTATTTTACATTATTTGTCTGTCAACATTCAGCAAATTGTTCGCTTGGTTTGTTTACATATTTTGTTTCTAAAAAGTATATATTTTTTTATTCTCAAACTCATCAGCCTAATCATCAGAATGGCCCCAATCAAGCTGTAGACAGCAATACATAGGCTTAGTGATCGTGCAAAGAGGTACATAAGGGAAGTTGGACATAAATCTATTATTTTTATCAATATAGTTGAAGTGAACATACATGACAAGTAACTTTTATCAATCGTGCATAATACTTTTTGGGTCTGGGTTGACAATCTTTAATTTTATATCAAGGTTTTGTCTTACTCTATAACATGATAATTTAGAATTATTTTAGATATTTTGAAAATGTACATTGCTTGGAAATGTATTGCATATCCGAACTATAAAGCTGCTCTGAAGCAAACTTTATAGGTTTAAAACATGATCTAACAGTTTATACAGAAGTACAGAACCCTATAGTATTTGTAAACAGCTCTGCTTTCGTTTCTGAAGATTTAATTTTTAAATCTCCACACTTCAGCTGAAATTTTAGGTTATTTTTCGGAGCTTTTTCAGTATCCTTGCCAATTTGTGACCTGGGTATGTCCTTTTTTGTCAACTATATTGATAAAAATAATAATAATAATTTAATTTGTATTGTGCAAGTTCCATTCAAATATGCTCACATGCACATAACAATATAAATATAAAAACAAAATCTAGATATTTATATAAAAGATAAAAGATAGTTAAGACAATCCAGACTATTGATTAATAGTCAGTTTTGAGTATATGTACTATTAGTTTCGTAAAAGATATATTATTATTGATAAAATCACACTATTTTGTTATTAAATATTATAATATGCTTTCCTAAACAAGTGTGTCTTTAAGAGTTTTTTGAAGCTTCCAATGGAATCAGCTTGCTGAATGCGTGAAGGTAAATCATTCCACAAGTTTGGCGCTGCACATCCAAACGAACGATCGCCAAGAGTCGGCAATGTTTTGAGGGTAGTCTTCTGGAGTAAAAGTTTCGAATTCGATCTCATGCTATAAGACGATGGAGGTTTGATGGTTATAAGCTCAGAGATATAGTCAGGTGCCAATCTATGAAGTGCTTTAAAAGCAATTAGTAGAATTTTGAAATCTATTCTAAACTTTACTGGAAGCCAATGTAAATCCATCAATGTTGGAGTTATATGATCAAACCGTGGGACGTTACATATTAATTTTCGATAACGACTGAATATTATAATAAAATACAAAACAATGGAAACTCCGAAGAAATTCATATTTTTAATTCAACGTTTCGACTACTGTTGAGTCATTCCTGATGATGACTCAACAGTAGTCGAAATGTTGAATTAAAAATATGAATTTCTTTGGAGTTTCCATTGTTTTGTATTTTACATATTAATCTCGCTGCTGCATTCTGCACGTGTTAGACTTATCAGTCTTACAAGTCATTGTGTACAACATGTACTCAGAATCTAACTTCACTATGTACCTCTTTGCATGATCACAAAGCCTGTGTATTTATGTCTACAGCTAAATTGGGGGCATTCTGATGATTAGACTGATACATTTGAGAAACAAAAAAGAAAAATTATACTTTTTAGTAACGAAATATGTAAACAAACTGAGCGAACAATTTGCTAAATGTTGACAGAAAAATAATGTACAATCTAATATAAGAACAAATCAAATTTAAACTACAAAGAATATGAAAACTCAATTTGGCCTATATATAGAAAAATTTACTTCAAGCTTGCAATAATACTGGTTTCTTATGGCTTTTAAAAAACTCAAAACAACTAAACAACTCTAAGCTTTCGGGATTTCCTCCGCAAACTAGATTAAAGCCTGCTGACGTCAACCTTTTTATAAAGGTCTATTCGACTGGGCTCTGCATTCATTTCAATAAAACCAGAGCAGCGAAACAGGTCTGTTATTACACCTAGTTGCCAACAACGAAATTAGTATTTTAGTGATGCGAAATTTATAAAAAAATGACTACACATTTAATTACTTACCAGGCAGTTGCTTTTGTAAACTTCGTAATGGTTTCTCTGGTGACACTTTCTACGAACAACAGCTTTCCACAACCCTTCTGGCTACATTTTCTTTCGAGATTTCGCTATTACAAACAGAAATAACATTACATAATAGCGTCAAGGCTGCTCTGATTGTGACTCTGAGTTAGTTTTTAATGACTGTTATTGATAACAGTACTACTTCGATGTTTTCAGAACTAAAGGTGAATTTACACTGTCACGTTTTTCATACACACCTATGTGCAGGCACATAAAAGTTTAAATCCCTTCAAAAGTTGCTTATGAAGTAAATAAGTGTATTTTTTATTCTATTTTATTTACTCCAAAAGTAATTTAAACTGCCATTTGTTAAAAAGTTTGAGCTACTCTATATGATTAACTACAACCATAAGCAGCCCAGTAAAATGTGTAAAAATGCATTAAACGCTTAAAAATACGTATAAAGTTTGTCTCAGTTTGCTATCAAGCGACTTATTTGTGTAGCTCATTATATATACAGATTTCGATGTTTACGTCATTGTATTTTCATATAGTATATTATCCTAAGGCGGGCAACTCGTTTACAAAATACATTTACACACACTAATACGTTCGCTTCAAACAACAACAAAAACCGCTACTTTCTGAAAAAAAACTAGATACAAAACACCTTGGATATGTTTTCTAACTTTATTCAAACTTTTTAGAAGTATTTAAATTTCATGGATAAAAAGTGGGTTTTTATCGAAATTATTTTGTTGATAGGTGGGATGCAAAATGCACAACAAACGTCATCATCGGAAAAATCATCGGCTTGTTGCTCATTGGTTGTTGAAAAATCGGCAAATTCCGAATATAATATACTTCAGTCAATGAACTTTCTTCGGAATTTACCGATTTTTGAACATCGTGCATTTTGCTTCCCGCCTATTAACAAAATAATTTCGATAAAAATCCACTTTTTATCCATGAAATTTAAATACTTCTGAACTTTTTTCAACTCTAAAAAGTTTGAATAAAGCTAAAAAAAATATCCAAGGTGTTTTCTATCTAGTTTTTTTTCAGAAAGTAGCAGTGTTTGTTGATGTTTGAAGCGAACGTATTAGTGTGTGTAAATGTATTTTGTAAAAGAGTTGCCCACCTTAGGATAATATACTATATGAAAATACAATGACGTAAACATCGGAATCTGCATGTATAATGAGCTATACAAATAAGTCACTTGATAGCAAATTGAGACGTACTTTATACGTATTTTTAAGCGTTTAATGCATTTTTACACATTTTGCTGGGCTGCCTGTGCTACAACAGTAAAAGAGTATATTAGTTATTGCTCACACTGCATCACACACAAATTTCAGAGAATATGATTGGTTGGATTGAAAATAAATTATCATAGAATTAGTGGCTGGTGATCAAATTTCCTTGAGATTGTTGCAGGCTCTTGTTTCACTGAGCCTGCCACGCAGGATAATAAAATTACAGCATTTAGTTCAGAAAAACGCGACAGTGGAAATCCACCTTATATGTTACCCAGGCAACTCAGGCAGGCTATAACCTACCTTTTTCAGGGGTTGTTGTGACAACATAGCGAAGAAAATTCGATGCTCTGGCAGGACCTACAGCAACAAAAATACATATTACAATATGAATAAGATCAGCTCAAAAGTCCATGCAGATACTTCCATTCAAGGATTGGTTGCAGATGGTTGTTGTATTTAAATTTGAATAACTTGCTGCAGTGGGAAGGAATTACAACTACAATTGGTGACGATGAAAGCTGAGACACTTGAATTGGAATGTTAAAGGGATATGGCAATATAAATTAAGTTTGTCTTATTTGAAAGAATATTTTGCCAACTACTTGTAATTATCAATATAAAACTCGATTTTCCGAAGTCATTTAGTACTCAGTTAACTCACAACATTTTAAGAAATTGTTCGAAGAAATTTAGTCTCGCATGAAGAAGCTTTAATAAGTTTACTCTGCTTTTGACATCATAAAAAAATTCAGTTAATTAGGTCAATTACAATACCAAGATGGTGGACTGCACACTGTTTTTGGTCAAAATATTTAAAACCAAGCAAAGAAAGAAAAGGTTGTAAAGGGTCATGTATAACTTTAAAAATTCTTCCAAATGAGACAAAGTTAATTTTTATTTCCATATCCCTTTAATTTTGTGAAAAATAATGCACAAATTAACATTTAAACCCATGTCCCCCCATTTGAATGTTGCTATAGGTGATGTAGATTTGTCAACAACACACTAGGGCATGAAAGCTGGTCGACAAAATGTTAATTTTAGTCTCACAATATTGAACAGGGGGATGGGACTTTCTGCCTAAGTGGTCCACCTATTTTGTCACTGATTGTACCTGAAAAATTAAATATTCCGAGCAAAGGCCTTGCATTGTATCATGGTACAAAACACACCTGCCATCTTGTGGCATTTTGTTAATGTGACAAACTGTTTTACGCTTGTGCTCTCATCCCATTTTCCGGCTTGGAATTCATTAATAGTCAAGTTACAAACAGCCCCAGGACGTTGAGCACTTTGTAGAAGTAGCATCGTTATCAAGTAACCACGAAGCCCAACAAACTCATTCTCTGGATCATCCAGTTTCTCAAATCGTTCCTCAAATTCGTTGTGAAGAGGTGAATTGAACAAGTTCCACATTTGGGAGCTTGTCAAAAGTGATTGAAAAACTTCGGTTTTCCTTCTAGCTGATTCTTCAGTGAATGACCTCATCCAGTTCGACACTCTGCCTTGAAATTCTTTTATTAAACTAAAATCGTTTTGCTGCAAACCAAACTTGTTTGCCAAACTTGATGCTCAGGTCAACAAAAGTTGTAAAACATTAACAAAACAGTGAGATAAGCTCATAAGGTGCCTACTTTCCTAGGCTTTGTTGAAAGGTGATTGACTTCAATGAAGGTATGGCGTATGTGTACCATGGCATCGTCATTCCACAACAGATTAACATTAGGTAATGTTTCATCGACTTCGTAAAGAAGTCGGCCAACTCGCCACTGGGCTTCTTTTGATGGTTTTGGCCCCCAGCAACCTCCTTCCATTGATAACAAGTGGTCCAGAAACCGACCAAGAAGTGGTTGGATTTCAACTATTGCAAGCTCAATTGCAAAAGCAATTTGAATTTCTTTTGGCACAGCCAGCTCTTGTGGAGGTTCTGCTCTAACATCTGGGTGCTCATCTGGGATCTCATCAGTAGGATGACTGTGCGAGGAATCGATAAACAAATCAGGACTGCCTGGGTAATCATTAGAGGAGTGATGACCGGGGGGAGAACTATCAGAGGAATGATGACTGGGTGAAGAACTATCAGAGGGATTATCGCATAGCTGTAGCTGCCTTTTAGCTACTGGTTTCTTAGATGGAATGGAAACAACAGACTTTATGCCCTTTTCTGCAAGTTTGTCTTGTTTTTTTCTGTGGGATTTTCTTTCCGTTGTCATCTTTTATTTCTTTTTCGATTTCCTTCCTCAATTTTGAACCTTGTGTATTATACCTAAATTAACATATATTAACCCATTAACAAATAAAATCGTCTGGCATTAAAGTAAAATACTCTGGCGTTAGACAGTAACATACTAAAGTAGGGCACATCTAATTGCATTGCTCAGAGGTGTAGCCAGGATTTTTGGTCAGGGGGGCCAGCAAAAACCCAGGTGGGGCCAAGCCGTACCACTTTTTCTGATGCTTCACCACGAAGATTCCGACAACATTGACAATTTTCCGACAGATCTCCCCCCCCCCCCGGCCACAGCGCCACTGCCGAGCCTGCATTAAAAATTCACTGGTAAGAAAAAACAGACTAGTTTAAACTTCATCTAATACATATTGAAATAGTTAGGGTTAGAAAAGGTATGTGTTTCAAACAAGATTTTAGGTTTCAACCAATGCGCAACAAAGCATATATTCTACAGAATTTTTGCATTATTGACAGCATGAAGCTATATAATCAAGGATTCCCTTTTTTATACAATACATTTTATCAGGGGGGCAAAAATTTTGCCAGGGGGGCATTGCTACGTTTTCCATTTTCCTTAAATTTCCCAACGTGCTCGGAGATTCATAAAACATTTCTTTTTGTTATATTTTATATGAGCTCATAACATCGCCAAGTCCGAAAAGAGACAACCTTTTTAATCTTGACGTTTCAAACATGCAAAACTTTAATAATCATTTAGTCTTCACCCACTCCTGATGATGATTGAAACATAGTTGAAAGGTATGATTAAAAAATGGTAGGAGCACTTTACATGTGCATTGTGCTCTGCAATTGTCTCCCACACACCTTTCATTCTGTTTTTGGCCATAATAAATGAGAACAGAAGTTAATATCATCCTCTAAATGCATGAGCACCTAAAAGGTTCAGTAAAGGAGTTAGAGAACAAATAATTGCTCTGAGTAATGAGGGTTTCAAACTGAGGCAATTTGCTGCAAATATAGATGTGTCAAAAGATGGACTTGAAAACTGAGATTCGCATTTCACTTGGTGGAAATTATAAGCTGGTATGGATAGATAATCCAAGTGATCACATATACACACTATTTTAGACATGACCAGGAACGGTTGCAAAAAATGCAATACTAGTTCCTCTGGCGGGAATTGACTTCTTTGCATAACAAACCTGCGATTGGTGGTAATATTCAATCAATCCTTAATTAACACAATCCAACAGAAAAAAATTACCAACACAATAGAAAGGAAATTAGCTGCATGTGCTCTGAATGAAAGACTTGCAGTTCTGTTACGCAAAGGAGTTGTTTTGATATACCGATTCTCTTGTGATGTAGTACACCGCGGTCACCCAGACCTTCGTAGAGTGGAATAGGATTTATTTTTCTGAATCATTCCACAGTTTGCTGCACAGCAGCGTTTGACACATCTATCTTTGCTGCATAGAAACCTAAGGTATGAATTCGGCAAAGCATACTTGTGGCAAAATGGTATTAACTCATTAACGCCCAATGCGCCCTGAGATTGACAAGTGGGTAACGGACAATGCGCCCGAATGCGCCCTGACATGACAACTTAACTTGCGGGCATGATATTTGAGCACATGTTTATTGGGTTGCCTAGCAACGGATACGAAAATAGAACGTGAAATTCGAGCTTTTCAACAGTGTATCATGCAAGAAAATCGGTCAGAAACTTGCAAAGTTTTTCAAGTTTAAAACCTTAGTTTTTCAAAAATAATGAATAATGGCGATACTGTTTCAAAGAAGCATTTTACGGCAAGTTTTAAAAGCGAGAAAAGAAGAGATTTTTGAATCATCTACAACGAAAATTTGGCATGAAAGGAAAGCGAATGTATTGACGTTTTGGGGCCAAGTTCTTTTGTGAACCATGTGCGAGATTTTCAGCCAAAAAGATGAGGATTTCTCCAAACTTTATTAAAAATAGAAGTCAGAAATCACAAGAAAGATGAACACGGAACACAAGTGAGCAGATACAATTGTTTAAGGGGTATTTTTGAGTAGAAATATGAGATCAAACACTCACAAAATTCGGCTGCATTAATGTTGGTTGAATCTAGTTTACAGTTATCTTTTTAGACAAACTGTTTATGCAAATTTGGGCACAATTTCGACTGTTTTCGTGACCCCATTGTTGGTCTTCTTGTTCAAGTTGTTATTTTAGCTAAAGTATGTTTCAAACGACACCAGATTAAATTACTGTGTGCATACGTGCCCTATTTGGCAAGAATACTTCGAGTATTAAATTACACTAAATAAGTAGGATATCCCAAAATCACTGTTATATCTATTTTCATCAATTTAGTCTTAAAATGACAACTCGTTTCAGACATATTGTGGTTTGAAATAAGTGTATTGAATTAATGCACTTGCTTGCCATGTCTGAATTCTCAAAAAGTCCGCACTTGAGTTCTAAAGCTTTAAAATGCTTTTTGTATTGGGTTTTATATCCCCATAAAACTTTAAATCGATAAGGCAGATAGTAATGTTGATCCAACCTCATTTTCTAGTAACTACATGTTGAATCAGAAGGAAAAGTTATCAAAATAGGTCGCGACGGTTGTTCGCCGTTGTTGTCGCTTCTCTCTGAAATGGCTTCCTTACAAAAACATAATTTAGCCGTCCTTTTGGGCCCATTGCTCGCTTATTTATCATGAAATCGCTTCACTATAGCATTTTTAATGTCTATGGGAAACTTTGTAATTTTCTGAACTAAGGGCCTGTTTACATGGAGGTAGGGTGACCCTAGCAGAAGGGTTACCCTAGCAAGCGGGTTACCCTACTTCAATATGTTTTATAGGAAGCGTTTACATGCGTGCTAGGGTTACCCTAGGGGTTGGGTTACCCTATCAAAAAGATAGGGTGACCCTAGCAGCAGGGCTATCTTTTTGTTTACAAAACCATGTAAACGCGTCAGGTAGGGTTACCCTAGCAAGCGGGTCATGTTTATTCGTCCTACTGTGACAGACAACTAACAAGGATGGCATCGCTAGATTATACATATCAGCCTGGCAAGTCTTTTAAACGACACCAGAAAATAAGAAGGTTAAGCAATTTACAAATAAGGCAGAGGCATAGAACGAAGCTTTGACTTTGGACGAGAACGCTGCGAATGATGTAGTTTTGATAACAAATTCAGTGTCAAAGACGGCAAACTGGAAGCAAAATTCCGGCGCATCCTCATCGACGTCAAAAAAACAAAATAAATGCTCTTAGTCAGCTGAACATGTCGAAAAACTGTTGTGTTGGACTATATCACGGAATACATTACGCTTATTTACGCAATGCGAGTAACAGACCACAACATTGAAATAACAGACCACGATATTGAAATAACCTCGGAAATAACAGACCACAACATTGAAATGCAGCAAGCAAAGGCCCAATAAATAGCATTACACAACTTGTCGCTAAAACTTTGCGTTTCGGTGCCATTTATCTAATAACAGACCACTTAGCGACCATGCATAGGTAGGGTTACCCTATCCGGCAACATAGCCCTAGCAGTAGGGTCACCCTACCTCATGTAAACGCTCGCTATTTTCTGACCCGCTTGCTAGGGTAACCCTCCTGATAGGGTCACCCTACCTCCATGTAAACTGGCCCTAAAAGTTTATGGTTTTGAGGTGTTTATTTTATAAAATAGCACGCGCGACAAAATGGCACTAATGTGGTTTCTCGCGTCTGACAAACAACCAAAAATGAAAGTTCTTATTTCACCCTTTTATAGCTATGTGGAATACCTGAATATTAGGTTATCTTTTTCATGTGAGCATATAGATAATATTTCTACACAATAGTCCTTATAAAGGCTTATTTCAAACTAAAAAAAGCAATTGTTTTTCAGAGCCAGACTTCAAAAGAGAACATGTGTCTGACATTTTTATAGCAGCCTACATTGGCGCGCAAAATAATTTTGGCTAAAAACCGTTGCTTTTCCAACAAAAACATGAAAAAATTGAGCTAAAAGTCATACCTGATGTATGTTTAAAATGTTTTTCTTTTTATGGTGTTTTTCAGTGCTTTGAGTAGAGAGGTTAATAGCTTTTGATTTTGTCACCACAATTTGCCTTTGAAAATGTCGGCTGTCATTGTCTGTGTTAAAAACACCTCAGAAAATTCCTATTTTCTCACCTTCCCATCCTTAGTTTATATTGAAAATAAATAGATTCTAGTACCATATGTCCTTTTAAATATATTTGAAGTAATTAAAAACTTGAAAGATGTACAAGCACTGTGTTTTGGCTTGCACACTTTGTTGAATTTGAACACTTAGTTGCTGTTCTAAATTTCATGTTGTAAACATCTTGCCCAAAAAAAGCAAAGGAGTATATTTTATAATTTTTGATCATTTTCTAATTCATATCCCAATAGATGAAAATTGGTTATAATATAGATATGTACTAATTTAGTAAATGAATTTTTTTGTTTTTTGAAATAAAACTATGAGATATTGCCCCTTTAGGTGACGAGTGACATGAAAAACAAAGTGTCACTGCTTTACAAATAAAAATTCTCATTGAAAAAACTAATGATATATATAGGTATGCAAGTTCATTTAAACTAAATTTGGTCAATCATATATCAATAATATTTGGTTGAAAAGACCAGATTCTTTCATGCAACTTTTTCTGAGATATTGCCATTTTGGTAAAAGCTCTTCACATATTTGCCATATTGCTTGGGCGTTGGGAGGTAGAAACATTGTAACAGCTTGCACGTTAACGAGTTAACCAAATATGTATGCCGGATGAATAAACTTCTCTTATTTACTGGTAACATTGTACCATAGCCCGCTCGACACAGTTTTCAACAAAATGGAGATTTCACGATTTAGACCTGTATTTAAATTGTCCGAATAATTGAGTATACTAAAACAAATCATTTTAAGGAATAATAATTGGGGATCACTGATTTCGTTTACCAGTTAAATTACTTTAATTAAAGTCAACCACCACAAGTTCAGGGAAC